TGTAACTCTACCCCTTTTCAGTTTAAACCCATTCCCCCTTGCCCTGTCGCTACAGGCCCTTGTAAAAAGTCCCCCTAACAGCTTTCTTGTAGGCCCCCTTCAGGTACACTTGGCCTTGTTGAACTTCATGTGGATAACTGCATGGGAAAACTGTAGAAAGGGAATATGACCCTGTCACCGTGTCTGCTGTAGCAACATTCTGGAAAACAGTGGTGATTTAGAAATGCCTTGGATGTGGGAAGGAACAATTCTGCCAGGAAAGTGACCACACTCCATTTAGATTGAGCTCTGTCCCTAAAGTACCTGTAGCATGCCAAAAGGTAGCGTTGCTCACCCAGTGGAAGTGGGTGGGTGTATGATGTGGGGCAATAAGCTTCCCTTGCTGACCAGCTCAGTGTAGTATCAGCCGCGTTGATGAGTTCATTCGCATTCCCTGGCTCTGCCACAAAACCTGTGATGTCTGTGAGCACAGCTAGGTGCTGGAGACCTGGACTGATGCTGGTCTCTGCCTTCGTCTGCAGGCGTGGGGCTGGCTGCTGTGGTCCTCTCCTTCTGGCTGAACATCTACTACATTGTCATCATTGCCTGGGCTCTCTACTATCTCTTCAACTCCTTCACCGCGGTGAGTCGCAGACATGCCCACAGCATGGCACTGGCTGTGTCCTAGGTCCTTACTCCCTGCCGTATAGGTGGTCGGGTGTTTATGCCACAAAATACGGGCTAGCTGTTTGTAGTTTGTGCACAGAACCATTGCCAGCACCCTGCTGCACCCTTCCTGAGGAGACTCATCAGCCCTGGAGGCAGCCGTGTAGTGCTGGTGGGTACTGATGCTCGTCCTCTGGAGAGGATGGTCCCATCCCCTCTCTGGGAACTGTTCCCCACTCCCACCTGTCTTTAAAACTCACCCTCTGTCTCCGTTGTATTTCTAGAGCTGTGTGAATCTAAGACCCACACATTTCCTCAACTGGTTTTGTCACAACGTGTTCTTATTACCCAGGACTCAGTCCTGACCTTAATTAGTCCTCATTTACGCTTCTCTTGATAAATGAAATCCTGGTGATTTTTTCTGCTGGGAAAATGATTCAGAAAACATTTAGACGTCTGCTTGTGACTGTCCCTTAGCATGTGCTTTGGCATTGTGGTTTATAGTGGGCTTCTCTCCCATAGCAGGGTCTTCTACCAGTACAAGGTTAGAATCACACCCCGCATTAACTTCCTGGGAGCTGAATGATTTATTTCAGCCCAGCAGCTGGGAAGAGCTCCCTTAACTTAACTGTCTGAGCAACCTGCTACCTAAAGACATCAACCCTGTGGGTCAAATGGGATCTTTTTAAATTTCATTGAGATATAACCCTGAAACGCTGTTACGAAGGCTTTATATTGTTTCACTTTTTGTTTTAGCAGAAGTCTTCATAGATACTTGACATTTTTGATCACCCAAAAAAAGAACCCATGCCAGCTACACCCTGGGCAGGATGCATCTCAGGATGAGGCTTTGGTATATTCAGGTGTCACAGACAATACTGGTGACAGTGCTGGTGTCTACATAGCAGCTCCGGCTGTTGGGTCAAGGCCTTTTCTTTTGCTGGAGATAATTCCACATTCCCATTAGGAATTGGTGCACATTCCCAAGGTGCAAAGAAAAAAGCTGGGCTGATGCCTGTCCCCCGTCCTTCCTAAATCTGACTAGGAGCATTCTAAACCTGAATAGGAGCCCAGCTTGCCTTCTGCAGTTTCTGCCCTCTGGAATTCAGAGGAAATGGAGCAGCAACAAACCGCCCCCACGCCTGCCCCCCACCCCCCCTTGTAAGAACTGCGCAGTGTCTCTGATGTGCAAACCGCTTGGCTGAAGGGCTGCTGTGCGGTGCTGCTCGAGCCACCGTGTTTGCTTCTGTGCAATAAGCCAGTCCGAGTGACATCACTGGGTGGGTGCAAACAGCCTGGGTGGCCACAGGGGTGTCCCCGCCTGCCCCTCCGTCCCTCTTCTCCCGCCAAGCCAGCGTGCACCTTGGGAGGTACCATCTGCTGGAGTGAACTGATTTAGGTGGGGGGTGAAGGCAGCAATTAAAGGCACTGATGCCACAAAGTGCATAAAAGAGATGATATTTCTAAAGGGGTCTGTGTTCGTGGGTGAGTAGGAATGGATGCAAACATCTTCTTTAAAGCTTTGTTGAGCTGGAGCCTGGGGTCTTATCTGCAGAGGGAAATCATCCAGAATAGCCGGTCTGTGTTTGTCATGTCCTGCACCTGCGTAACGAGATTGCTGCACATGGAGAGAGGTACCTGAGCCGCTCTTGCTGGGCTGCCTCGGCCGTGGCACTACACGGCAGGGGCGGGTTGCCCCGCGTGCTGCTGCTACCGACGGTGTACCCATCTCCCAGGAACCTCTTCGTGCTGCTTGTAATCAGGGCAGTGCACAGCATGAAAGAGCTGCTACGCTTCAGATTTGCCTATGCTGCCGTAGTTTATTCGTGTAGACAAACCGATAGCCCCCGTTCTCGATGCTAAGCTGTCTTTTGAACACTGAAGCTTGGTATAAATGAGCGATAAGGAACAATTCAGTGTTTATTCTTTGTCCAATAAATTCCAAACACTTGTTGAGTGAAGCTAGCCAAAAGCTGTAATGATTATAAACACAATATCCCCCGGTAGCTCTTTTAATTAGTAGTTATTAATTACCAACAGTTAATTGGAAATGTCTTTCTATCTGGGGAATTGTTTACATTGTATTAGAGCTAAAGCATTGCCCTAATCACGCCTTGATATTGTTTCCTGCAAAATCCATGTCACAATTTATTATTTTTTTGGAAAGTAATGTCATGTTTTTGTCCATCCAGAGGAGCTGCCCATCCTCTTTGCAAAAAGAAAAAAAAAAATTGTGATTCAGTCGAAAAGAAGCCAGATTTCTCTTCTTGCTGCTGCCCTTCAGAAATGTCACATTAATGATAACCCTCTGTCCTCGTGCCGGCACAGGACCTGCCGTGGCAGAGCTGTGGGAACACCTGGAACACCGACCGCTGCTTCTCCAACTACTCCCTGAGCGACACCACCAACCTCACCAGCGCCGTCACAGAGTTCTGGGAGTACGTCCACAGCCTGCCTACACCAGGTTTCTCCCCCTCGACGCGGCCATCGTGCCTGCTCGCCGGGGCC